ATGTTTTTAGCCAAAAACTTCTGAAAAATTGATAATATTCCTTTATGATCTTGTCAGCGTTACTGGGAGCCTCTGAGATTATTTCCTTTTGAGAGTTTTGTAAATCATTTTCTAGTTTTGAAATCTTTTCTTTTAACTCAGAATTTTCTAATTTAAGACTCTTAGTTTCTTCAGAGTCAGAAACAAGATCCTTTTTCAGGTTCTTGGATTTGACTCTGAGTTGCTGATACCTTTCCAGAATTTCACTCAAGCTTTCTCCTAGTTTAGCTTTGGTAAAATTAACTGTGAAGTCAGGAAATACCTCTTTTGTGTCTGATTCTGAGTCTGACCCAGATGCTTCGCTGTCTTCTGTCACATTTTCCATAAGAGCAATGTTTGCTCTTTCATCATCTGACTCTGTGTCTGCGTCAGAAGTATCTGAATCATCCCATGTTTCCATGAGACTTTTCTTCTTCTCCTTGAAGAACTTCTTTTTGGGCTTCTCCTTCTGAAACCTTGGACAATCACTTTTGTAGTGCCCTTGTTCATTGCACTCATAGCAGATGATGTCCCTGTTGCTTGACTTTCTGTGACCATATGAGGCTTCAAACCTTCTGTGTCCAGAGGAGGGCTCGTACTTTCTATATCCAGAGGAGGATTCATTCTGATTCTCTGATCTTTTGGAGTTTCTGAATTTTCATTGCCTCTGCTTCCACAGTTGATTGACCCTTCTGGAGAGAAGAGACAATTTGTCTTCTTCTGATGAGGATCCATCAGAGGTTTCTTCCATAGCCTGCAAAACTTTAGAGTCAAGTTTTTGTTAGATTTTAATGCTAAAGTCTTACCTTGCTTCTGAGGATCTTCATCTTCTAGCTCTATGTCATGGCTTCTGAGGGAGCTAACAAGTTCCTCCAGAGATATCTTATTGAGATTTTTTACCAGATTGAGAGCAGTGACCATTTGCCTCCATTACTTTGGTAAACTTTTGATGATCTTCTTTACATGATCAGCAGTAGAATACCCTTTGTCAAGAACTCTCAGCCCATCAACTAGAATATGGAATCTTGAGAACATTGCTTCTATGGATTCACTTTCTTCCATCTTGAAGGCTTCATATTTCTGAATGAGCGCAAGGGCCTTGGTTTCTTTAACTTGTATGTTGCCTTCACGCGTCATTCTCAGAGAGTCAAACATGTTTTTGGTTGTCTCTCTGTTTGATATCTTCTCATACTCTGAATATGAGATGGCACTGAGAAGAATTGTTCTGGCCTTATGATGGTTTCTAAAGTCACGCTTTTGTTGGTCAGACATTCTTTTTCTATCTATCTTCTGACCACTTTCATCAATGGGATGCATGTATCCATCAATTACCATATCCCATAAGTCAGCATCATGAGCCAGAAAGAAGCTCTCAATTCCATCTTTCCAGTAGTCAAAATTTTCTCCATCAAAGACTGGAGGTTTGCGCTGATTCTGTCCTTATCATCATGATAGTCATTGCTGATGTTTTGACTTGGTCCCACCATAGTGTTTTTCTTAAGCTTGGATCTTGTACTGACATGGTTAAGTGCATGAACTCAGAACCAGGCGCTCTGATGCCAATTGAAGAAGTGAAAAACACAAGAAGGAGGGGGGTTGAATTGAAACTTAAAAATCAAAAGCAATAGACACGATGATTTTTATCCTAGTTCGCTTGATCTCAAACTACTCCATTCTATCCGCCAAGGTGATTTTGCCTCTCTCTAACGAGGACTTAATTCACTAATCAAACTGATTACAATTCTACTTTTACAACTGCCAAAGTCTTCTTGAGTACAACCACAACCCGACTTATCTCAAGAAAATTCACTGATCAAAAGAAGAAGTTCACTGTGTACTGTATGTTTTTCGTTATAAAAACTATATCACTATTGTGATGTATTATACAATTTTGGAGTATAGAATGAATATAAATTTTGCAGCGTTTTGAGATTGTATTAAGCAGATGTGTGAAATCGTAAACAATTTGGCCTTTGAGCTTGTTTATATAGGCGTGGCAATATGTGCAAATGGAAACATGATAATTAGCACTTAATGCACTTTCCATAATGAGAAGATCCTTGTCTGATTGTAGTCGTTGTAAATGATACTGCCTTGATGGAAAAGTAACGCTTCAGAACTTGAGGATTCTTTCTTGCTGCTTTGCTTTAAATCTTGGGAAGTCAGAAACATAATATTCTGTTTGCACGTTAGACTTCCGATCAGAATCAATATGTCTCTCTCTTTAGCGTAAATTCTGATCTTCATACTTCAGAACATTTTGATAACAGTCTGCGTACTCAGCTTTAATGCCTTTGAAGCTTAACTTCTGATGCAGTTCCGTCATAACTTCTGTACAACATAGAACACAAAATTAGAGTGCATATTTTTTCTTTGTGTTTATTATCATCAAAACTCTTATGAGGGTTATAGAATCAAACTACTCAATCACATGATCATCAGAAACTAAATTATGATCTCATATGTCAAGAAATCCTACCTCTCGTCAGCAATGATCCATTATTAAAGGTGAAAACCATAATCTCTCACATCACTACGGTATATAACTATACACCGTCATACCAAAAGGTGTGGTTAGAAAATACCAAGGCGATTGAAAAGGTATATGGAAATTGGGAGGAGTCATACAAAGAACTTCCTTGATACCTGAATGCACTTCAGACTTATTCTCTGGGTACTGTTTATATTATGGAAACACTATCGGCGTACGCCCCAGATGGTACTCATGTCACCGGAAATGGAATATTCAGTCGAGTGCTCTGGGCTTTTCAACCTTGCATCACAGAGTTTGCGTCATGCAAACCTATTATTCAAATTTATGGGACTTGGTTGTATGGGAAATACAAAGACACGCTACTGATGGTAGTTGCACAAGATGGAAACAACAACATTTTCCCAATTGCCTTTGCTCTAGTCGAGGGAGAGACTAGTGGTGCTTGAAGTTTCTTTCTCAAGAATCTCCGAACACACGTGGCTCCTCAACCAGATCTCTGTTTGATCTCCGGTAGATATGCATCTATTAAGAGTGCATACAACAATCCTGCAAAAGGTTGGCATGACCCTCCTTCTACGCACGTCTACTGCATTAGACATATCGTCCAAAATTTCACAAGGGAGATCAAAGACAAGGCTCTTAGGAAAGCTGTTATGAACGCAGGGTATGCATTAACACAACCTACATTCAAACACTATCGCAACGAGACCAGATTGTCATCTGGACGCAGGTAGGTGGATCGATAATATTCCGGTGGAGAAATGGACTAGGTCATACGACAATGGACAACAATGGGACCGCATGACAACAAATCTGATCGAATCCATGAACGGTGTATTCAAAGGCATACGAAACCTCCCAGTAACTGCTTTGGTTAAATCAACATATTTTAGGATGACTTCGTTGTTTCCCAAAAGAGGTGAAATATGGAATGCTGTCTTGCAATCAGGATAACTATGGAGTGAAAGCTGCATGAAGTATATTAAGGAAGAAAGTTCCAAAGCCAACACCCATATGGTTATACGGTTCGACCGACACATCCACAACTTCATTGTCAAAGAGACAATTGACCATAACGAGGGACTGCCAAGACAAGAGTATAGGGTTATACTACCTTCTCGTTGGTGCGATTGTGGCAAGTTTCAAGCCTTTCGTATGCCTTGCTCTCATGTCATTGCAGCATGTGTGTATACTTATCAAGACGCATTACAACTTCTATCTCCCATTTACAAGTCTGAAATCTTGCTCAACGTATACAACAACAGCTTCCCATTGGTAGGGAAACCTGATTATTGGCCTGCATACGACGGCAAAATAGTATGGCACAACGACAAAATGCGAAGGAATATAAAGGGTCGTCCCAAAAGCAAGCGCATCACAGCTGAAATGGACTCCCTTGACAAGCTAGGAAGAAAGTGTGGTTTATGTCGTCAGGTCGGACACAATCGCAAAAATTGTCCAACTCGGGCTAGTAGCTCAACAACATAAAAATTGTATGCAAAACATCTTTACTTTTTTAAGTTCTAAACATTACGGTTTTTCATTAAGAGCATTTGTTACAACAAACCTTACGCAAACAATAAATAAAAACACGATAAAATATCTAAGAAATTACAACCGTTAAAACAATTTCATCTGACCCATGCATTATCAACATTACGTCTCCGTCTGTTTTGACTTCTTCCAACCAAAAATTAGGTCTTCCTGTTGCAAGTGAGGTGGTTGTTCTTCTTCGCTGGATCCTTCTAATTTATTCCCCATCCTCGATGTTTTCCTCTAGCTATCACATCAACTCTCTCTTCAGACGCTGCATGGAGTAAATGTGCCAAAATTTCATTTTCATCGGAGGTTTGGTGGCCGAGAAAATAACGTAACCATCTCTAGTAAAAGTCATAGGAGATGTCATGACGCAAATAACAGAGAAAAAATAAGAAGACAGTGCGAGAAAGTGTGAAGAATGACGGAAAAATGGGGGATTTATTTATCGAAAATTGCATTTTGTCCTAGACACCAAGTGAGATGGTGCCTCCTCTCACTTTTAGAGTGCATGCGCCATCTCACTTGACTTAAAGTAAGAACATGCGCCAAGTGAGATGACGCCTAAGACAAATGATCAAAAACAGACGTCAACTGAGTTGACTTCTCTTTTATAAAATTTTCTGAAACATAGTTATTTGCGTAATTTTCTCCGAAACATGATTATTTGTAATTTAAAAAAAAAAAAAGATTAATTATTACAAAAAAAAATCCTAGTTAAGTGATTTTATTTTAAGTTATATGTTATATTAAGTTACTATAAGTAAATCAAAATTTAAAATCAATTTTACTTACAAGCTACCTTATCCAATCTAACAAATTAAAAAGCAACCCGTCGACATAACTAGTCCATTTTACTTTATCATTACACAATCTTTAGTTTTCGGTGAATTATATCCTTTTTAGCGGTGGAGATTTAACCACAGCACGTCGGCACCAACATAAAAGAAGCATGGATTCACTCATTAACCACCACGTGTAACTATCAACTATACACCAAAGCAAACTAAAAAGTTACTTTTATCTTATATATACATTGTTAGATTTTTCTACTTTGCAACATAGGATAATCAAGATGGAGAAACAACCTCAGAAGGAAACAAAGCCAACAAACGAAGCAGAACAAGGTAAAGAAAGCACCGAAGAGGTTCCATTTAATAAGGACAGTCCTTATCTGAAATACGATAACTTAGAGGATTATAAGAAACAAGGTTACGGTACACAAGGTCATCAAGAACCAACGGAAGGTCGTGGAGCTGGTTCAACAGAAGGACCAACTCTTTCTGGTGCTCATGTTTCCTCTGAGGCTGAGTTTAAGGCTGTTGAAGCTGTTAATCGCAAAGGAGTTCCTTAGTTTATGTATTCCAGTGTTTCTTAATTTGTGTTTTGTGTTTTAATAAGATGTTCTGTTTTCTCTGTTTGAATCAGTTAAATTGATAATTGTGTAGAAACATCATATGTGAGGATTCGAACCTTTGAATCAATAGTCACTGGGCTACTTAAAAAAATGTTGTGTTTTAATTTGTGGTTAGCTTTGTGAGTTTTTAGCTTCTTGTTGGTTCTGGGGTTACTAACATGGATATTTTATTTTAAATTGTGAAACGAGTATTGTTTATAATTGATGAGTAAATTAACAATTTTTAATTTTGTCATACAAATAAATAACTCTTTTGAGTTTCTTTTAGTATACTTGAATAGACACGTTTCCTCTAAAAGCAAAATAATTCAGTTTCAAAAACAGAATAAAAAACACATTATTTCTTGCAAGTTTTGCCTCATTGATTGAGGGGAGGTGTGGGATTTTTATTTTGATTAGAGTTGAATTGATGACAGAGTTGGAAATGATACAATTTGAACAAATAACCGTCAATCTGTAATGGTTTTTAAAAGAATAAAAACCAACTTATTCATTAAACAGCAAATCCAGAATTTTCAAGCAACATTTGTTGTCTTCATCAATAAGGTCTTTAGCGGTTAGGGATAATGGTTCATAGAGAAAGAGAGAGATGAAGAATTGGAAGCAAGATATTCTTGCAGAATCTTGAGCTTTATTGTAAGTGATCTCATAGTAGTTAAATTCATGTAGAAGTTAGTTACAAAACTCTAAGTAACTTCCTAACTATACTAACTACTTTTTTAACTACTTCAACTAACTATTCTTATTAATGTTTTTTAATACTTCTCCACAAATTCATGGTTCCGAATTCCACAAATAGTGTTGTGGGGAACGGTTTTGTTAAAATATATGTTAATTAAGTATGAGCTGGAACATGTTTGATTTGAAGACGCTTTGCAATAATTTTTTTCTGGGGCAAATAAATATCAAGTTCGATTCTATGTAGAATTGAATTATGGGATTATCACATAGTAGTATAGGAATTAAGTAGACACTATGCAATTCAGTAAGAAATGATTCCATCAATGTTGTAAAGAGAGGTAACAACCACATTGAATCTTATGGCTTGTACAGTTCAAGCTAACACTACCAAAAACTTTTAAGAAAAATAGACCTTAAGGAGAAATGTTTCAAGCTTTATGGATATCTTTCAGGGTACAAGAAATCTCAAAATTTCAAGAGTGTAAATCAAAGTAACAATGTAAGTGATTATGGTGTTGCAGGTTATGACTCCTTCTCAGAGATGCTCCTTCTCAGAGATGCCGATTATGACTCCACAAAACTGTCAACAACTCATCAATTTTCTACATACTCAAATGACCAAGGCTAGCACATCTAAAGTAGCTCCACTGGTAAGTTCAGTCATAGGTATGAGTTTTTTCAATATTGACTCCCATAAATCACATAACCCTCAGATTTAAATAGTAGATTCAGGAGCTACCTCTTACATTTGTTGTGATTTCTTTTTATTATCACATAAACCTTTAGTAGAGAAATTTGTCACTCTCACAAATGGTAATTCTATACCTGTTAAAGCTATAGGTAACATTGTCATCAATAGTACATTATTCTTGCAAGATGTACTTTACATTCCAACATTTCATGTGAATCTCATTTCAATTGGAAAACTTTTCATTAACTCTCATCTACAATTAATCTTTGAGACTCATCATTTTTCCATTCAGGACACCAAGCAATCCAAGATTCTTGGATTGGCAAGGGTAATCTCATTTCAAGTTTATACATACTTAAAGTTGATGATATTCAACAACTCACTAATTTCCCTTCTTGTAATATTATTTCTTCTATTAATATTGCCAAATTGTGGCACCATATGCTAGGTCTGGTTCCATGTTAAAGACAGTTAGCTATAAGATTCATTTTTTTTTTCCTGTTGATTTCAATTCAAATAAATGTATCATAGGTTCCTTGGCTAAACTTAAAAGATTATCTTTTAAATGCAATAATTATTTTTCTGCTCAAAGTTTTTGTTCTTGCGTAGGAACATTAAATGGTTAGCTTCTCTATAGAAATAGGAAGAGTCTCAAAGATAAATTTCTGTAAATATAATTGGGGATTTGAGAGTTACACTAGCAGTGCGTATTGTCTCAAGAATATATGTCTTGCTTATCCCTCTGGAGGGAGCCTCTATATATAGCTTCTATAATATCTCCAAGAACTTCCTTTAAGGTGCTCCTTGAAGTTTCTCACGTTTACTCTGAAACATTTGTCGTTAGCCATCATTGATGCACTTAATTCAGGGTAACAACTGGTGATTAATAGCTGGTGACTGTTTCTGAAGTTACGGTCGGGTTCTTACGATGACTCTCTATATCTTGCTGGATCGCATCCTGGAGAGCATTACCTGGATGTAGGTACCCGGAGATAGGACGCGGCTTATCCCTCTGGTCCCGAGGACACTAACCGGAGGTACACATATATCCACACTTTCATACCTTCTCGTCATCCTCTTTAAACCGATTATAGATCCCGACTAGACATACATATTCTAGGATGCACATAAGCCCCCCGGACATACATGTCGACATTGGAATGTGGTGCTCGGTCATAAATGAGCCCGTGATATTTCTAGTTTTGAACTCGGAATATATTCACACGTTCTGAACCTTTTCGCGTACGTGGCAGGCAACTGATAGGAAAATCTTTTGAGTGATTTTTCCCAGTGTAATAATGAGTTTTTATGGGGACTTGATTATAGGCGAATGTTTCCTTACTACTACCATCATTTACTAGGGATCTTTATTTAAGTCCTACTTTTCCTTCTCTCTTTCATCAATTCTCACCGTTGGAAACTTTCGTAACACTCTTTTCATTAGTGAATCCTTCTCATTCCTTTTTACTTTATTCTGATTTCCTGCTATTTTCATAAGAATGATTATCATAAGAGAGTGTGATAGCGTTGGCAACGTTATAAAACCCAAAAATGTCGAGGAAAGAAAAGCTTTGTGGGATGAGTACATGTGAAAGATGCAAACTATCTTAAGCATAGAAGAGTATACTTGAGTCTTGAACACAGTTTATAACGAAATCCTCACTTCTCAAAGTGATTCTGACTACGTCTCTTCATCCTCAGGTTCTGTGGAGATGGTGATGGAAACCTCCGCTCCCTTTGATATAGAAGTAATGGGCTACAATAATAGTCATTTTGACGCAATGGATATAAGAAAACTCTGGTCTTTGAAGAAAATCTCCTCCACCGGGAACGAGGACGCAGTTATCTTGGAGACTTAGGATCCTGGAGAATGAGTGTGCATTCTCCGCCATGAAAGCTCCAAAAAGGAGTTCTTTTATTTCTATCTGGGAGTGCTGGAAGATTTTCAAGTTTGTATTCCTTTCTCGGATTTTAAAGAAGACATTCTGAAGGCCATGAATGTGGCTCCTTCTCAACTCCGACCTAACAGTTGGTTGAAAGGGTTTATGAGGCTTTGAACATTATCCCTATTGTTGGTTTGTTCTTTTCATTCTTCGAGGTGAAGGGAGTCGAGAAGATTAGTTGGGTTCAGATTAATTGAATTTCTCAAAAGAGTTTTCTTCAAGTTTACACCAATAGTTACAAAAGTTTTAAAGACTGCTTTATTTTGTGAAGAATACAAATGATTAGCTCAAAGAGGCTCTCCAGAAGTCTCAGATGGATGTTCTCTCTGTTGTTGATGAAGCCTTTAACCGGGCTAAAGATCAGACATTATTCCTTTACCCATATCTGGATTTGTCTGAGATGGACTATTTCAAGGTGGTGCAAGATAGCCGTCTTGTGGATCTTGATGAATGGGAGAAGGCTCAAACTCCGCCACCGGATCATGATAACCCTTCTAGTATGGAGAACAACAATAATGGCGACCTTCTGGAGAATTCAGCTGCTTCGTTCCATTTGGTTATGTTAGTCATCCGATAGGGATGCACTTATGTAATTTTTGTTTTGTTTTAGGGAGTATGGTCTCCCCCATTTGTGTAATGAATCTTTGCCTCCGGGAACTATATTTTGAACAAATCTTTGCCTTATGTGGCTTTACGTTGATATTGTCTGATTTCATTAATCTATTTTTCTGCCTTTTGAAAATATAATCCATGTACTCTAGTCCCTCGGGCATGAAGTCCATAGGACTTTAAGTGTCTGATCTTGAAATGATGGGATTTATTTTTAGCCGATCGTGCTTTTAGCACCATAGTATTTTTCTATATCTTTTTACAAGCTTCTCTTTTTTGAGGTAATTGATTTTTCTGGTTTTGCAATACCTAGGACCTTTAGCGTTTATGGACTTTAAGATCCCCAAGAAAATATTCACTTATTTTACTTTGTTTTATCTCTTTCTTTATCTCTCAAGTGGCTTGTTAGTAATCCCTAAGCTAAACCTCAAGCCATTATGGGAGGGCATCTATTCGCGTTTGAAGATAGACGATGTCAACTCAGACACATTCGAAGGTTACTGCTGTTAGGCTCTTTTTGCCTCTGATATTCCCGCTATCTTTAATTAATATCTTAGTTATTGATCACACACCTTTTTATGGGTATGCCTTATCAAGTTTTTAGTTACTTCATAAGCCCTGGGATCTTATGGACGAGTTGCATAGGTATTTTGGCCAGATAGAGTCCCTTTTTTGAAGGTGAGGTTGACCTCATTTGTGGTTCAGAGCCTCTTTTTCCAGAGACGAGGTTGACCTGAATAGGTGTAGATCCCTTTTTTTAAAGGTGGGGTTGACCTTGTTTTTGGTTCAGAGCCCCTTTTTCCAGAGGTGAGGTTGACCTGAATAGGTGCAGAGCCCCTTTGTCAAAGGCGAGGTTGACCTCATTTTTGGTTCAGAGTCCCTTTTTCCAGAGATGAGGTTGATCTGAAAAGGTGTAAAGACCCTTTGTCAAAGGCGAGGTTGACCTCGTTTTTAGTTCAAAGCCTCTTTTTCCAGAGACGAGGTTGACCTGAATAGGTGCAGTTCCTCTTTGT